ATATATATATATATATATATATATATATATATATATATATATGACGTAAGCAACAATATATATATATATGATATTTAGAGTAATGATACTTATTTCTTTTTTTGAGAATGATTAATAATACTGGTAACAAATCTTAAAAAAAATTGTATTTTTGAAACGTGTTATTACGAAGCAATTTTCACCGATGTATTTCAAAAGTAATTGCGCGATAAGTTTCGTGTCGATAAGAAAGTTCCAATTCTTGTTTTTAAATAATGCTCGATCATCGATTACGTAAAGTAACGTAACAAAAGTGGTTATTATTATAAAAAAATTCTTATCACGTTTGATCGACTAAAATCGGGGTGGGGGATACGTTCAATTCCACAGTTGAGGGCGCGACGGCGCTGGAGGAGTCGTGGTATGTAACGCCACCCGCATGTTTCACACGGGCGGGCCCCGTGAACGTAGAAACATCACCGCTAGAGGACCTGCTGATAGAGCATCCCAGTATGTCCGTGTACCGAGCCACAGCGTCTCCGGTCGCCCCCGAAACCCCACCGCCCACACCTGACGCGTCGGAAGACGTCGAGGAGGACGTTCTGCCCGACGTGGTCTCCAGCGCCCCGGACACGGCAGCACTAGCTTCGCCGGAACGTAGCCCGAGGAGAGGCGAGGACGAGCAACAAGCGACCCGTAGACCAGCCATCCACGATGGAAGACCCTCCGTTGACCGCGCCCGCACCGAGAAGAGGATAGCTCAGCTTCGGTCGGCTTCGCAGAAAGTGAGGAAACTTTTCACTTCGCTTCTTTCTTTATAGTATAGACTTTAATATAGACGATGATTTATTAACGAATTACAGTTAACTCTTTGGTCGAGAGACCAGAGACGCTATGATGAAATACGTGACTTTGTCTCCTCCTCTCAAGTCAGCTTGTTCTCTGAGTATCCGCGTGTAGTTAAAAATAGAACGGCGGTGATACTCAGAAACCAGGGGAAAAGTGTAGAAAATTGTGGAGCTAAAGAGTTTTAAGAGGCCGGGATGTGTATGTAGAGTATGATCAGAATGACTGTGCAAGGTAAAAAAAAAAAAAAGAATAGAGACGAGAGGAGAAGTTTTCAAAGGAATTATTGTGTATATATATATTTGTTATAGATCTATCGTCTAGGGAGGACGATCTTGATTGAATTGTAAATTGAAATTATGCGCAGGTTTTCGAGAAGAGGTCTACCCAAGCGTTGAAGAGAGGCCGTCTGGAGAGGAGTAACAAACTGAGGGAGGTGTTCAGTGTAAAAGGCAAGCGGCCACGCCGCCAGGACCGCTTGCGTATCCAGAACAGTGGCGCAAACAACAACCGGAAATGCTAGTCATTCGATCTCAGACCAAGGTGTACTCAGATACTTTCTTCCTAAAAAAACGCGATTCTCTCGCGTTTAACTCATTTCAGGCGACGCGATTTAAGTGTTCATTAATTACTTTCAGCCTATATATTCGCATATACAATTATGCCTAATGTATAAACTGAACGACAAAAAAGACAAATTAGATAGCAAGAGGAAAGGTCAAGTCGATAAAAAAGAATAATGAATGAACGAAGCATACAAATATTAATTCAAAAAAAAAAAAAAAAAAGAAGAAAGGAAAAGAAAAAAAAAAGAACAAAAAATAAATCACGTGGAGAAACCATAGAGATCTGTTCTTACATGTGTCCTCTCTTATCGTGTTTTATATATGCTTTCTATATTGCTTCTTCGCATACAAAATTGCTCGAGAATTGTTTTTCTCAAGATATTATACGAAGAAAGCGAACAATAGAGTGAAACGAGAAGAAAAAAAAACAATTGTTTCCTTACAACTTGATCATGTCGAACTTGATGTCTTGCTAATCGAGAACGAAACGTCGTCTGAGGAAAGAAAATGAGGGGCAAAAAAAAAAAACATATATATGTATATATATATACATATATATATATATATATCTAAAAAGGAAGAAAGTATTTGAAACGTAGCCGATTGGTCCACGGTGAGAGTCTCGTTGTAGAATATCTCGTGTATAATGGCGCGTGTATGATACTCGGTTGGATCGTGTGTATACTTTTTAGCCTCTATTTAGTATGGGCAAATGTGTTTTTACTCGTATGTTTAACGTTTAGTTTCTATTTAAGTTGTTTACATACCCTGTCATTGATGCGCCTATGTAGCAGACAGGATTTATTAACGTATAATTTTTAGCGTAATAACCCATCCTTGATGATTCCCTTTCGTTTTCTCTTCCCTACGCGAACGAGCCGCCATTTTTTCTTTCACGGACCGGTCCACGTTCAATTTGCGGCGACAGTCGATTTTCGATGCTGATATGAAATGCCAGAAACACATACACTTTCGGGACCACGCTTTTTTCTTTTTTTTTTTTTTTTTTTTTTTTTTTAGGTTATTGTATTAGTTTCACGTTGGACACTTTCACGACCGTTAGACGATCCGTTTAAAAAAAAAAGAAAGATAAAATTCCAACACGACGAGATGGACGAACCACTAGCGTTAATAGGTCACGTGCGAGCTCTCTGAGTGGCTCTGAAGACAGCTGATAGTCGTAGAACGTCCATTGGCAGCGTTACTGTACTCGTCTCACACGGTGTCCTTCCGTCTGAACTCGAATATCACCAAACCATTAAGCAATAAAACGCTATCAATCAGACACTGTTCGAAATGCCTATCGATGGACGTTCAACAATAACTGTATTTATTTAGCGGCACACATGGTATGGTACTATCAACTGAATAATATCGATTAAACTTATTAAACGTAACGTTTTAGATGACAAAACGATGACAAACGTGTCTTGTATGAACGAAGCGATTGAAAGCGAAAAAAACAACGGATAACAGTTCTTCTCCCCTCCTCGATCGTTTCGACGAAAATCGTTCAACTTATGTCGTGTAAGTGTATAAGATAAATCCACGAAGATGAACGAATCGATCGATCCGTGAAGAGAGAGAGAGAGAGAGAGAGAGATAGATAGAGGCAGAGCTGCAACTAAGATTCCAGCTGCAGAATCAATTTCCATATACATATATATATATATATATATATATATATATATATATACATACACTACACATAACACACACACACACACAC